TTCAAGTTGGTGAGAATATTTTTGGAGGGCAACATGATATACCAAATAAAAAAATCAATGATGACTTTTGACCTTAAATTTGTTACTTTTAGGAACCCACATCACTTAGAAATATACACTGCAGTACTATCTGCAATTGCAAAATCTGGGAAGAATTTATATGTTCATAGTTGGGTAGTGGTTAGAAAATTCTTATAGACTTGTACTGTACGACTGTTAAAAATGATAGTGCAGATATATATGTATCGAAGTAGAAAGTTTTGTTAAGACATATTGAATTAAAAACAAATTAAATGTCAAGGTAATATAAATCCCATCCCACTGCGCTGTGGGCTCACAAGCTCTTTTTGCATAGAGAAAAACCTTAAGGATAGACACCAGAGTGTTAGCTGTCCTTGCCTTTGGGAAGGGGACTGGAAATGTGGGAGGTGGGGGTGGAGAACAAGGGCTCACGGCCGGGGGTGGAGTAAGGGGTGTTCACTGTTTGAATTGTTCACTTTGTAAATTGTTAAAATATTCATTTTGTAAAAATGGCTTTAAAAAGTTTTGCGATGTAACAAGAAAACAAAGACAGAGTTGGACTAGAACAAGGACTGCTAGCTTCCTCACTTGTTTTATCATAAGCAGCTCCAAGCGTTTAATTTTTAACTGTTTCGCATATCTGGCTTCTCTGTAAGATTTTATTTGAACATAGAGGTCACATAATAGACTGAAGTTCTCTTGAGCATTAATAATCTATAAACAGTCTGTAAGTTAGTAATATCTGTGTGATTCGTGGGCAGGAATATTTAAATCTTGGTCAGGCTTTCTGTTCTACTCATATAAAGTCATGCATTTTTAAGAAGATAAATTAGTTTTATTATTAAGAATATACAAGTAAGAAATTGTATTGTGGAAAAAGCATATGCACGACAGATTAAGTGACAAAAACTAAATATAATTGACTTTGGAAATTTACTTTTACCCCTCCACCCCAAGTGACTAAGTCATGATCGATGCTGCCATTATTTTTAAAATAGTGACGAGTTTATGACATATTCATTAATGTTACATGACAAGGTATAAAAATTGAAACACTGACAGATTTTAATGCTGCAAACTAATAAAAAAATGAATTTAATCATTAATGCCCAGTGCGATTGCCACTATGTTGTACGGCAACCAGGCATATGTTGTAAAGTTTTGAGAGACTAAAATTCACATTGCTTCTCCATTCTCCAATAAAGGTGTTTTTATTTAATAGTTATTTTTTCCAGTACTTGCTGGAAATTCCTCCAGTTTATTCCAGTTCTTCCAGCTACCTCCCAGCTCATTTGTTTAATGTTTAAAATCCTCATATTATTAAAAAATAAAGGTCCCAGATTCTCAACAGGCAGAGTTCTATGTCTCTGTCTTTTTCACTTATTTGTAAAAATGACAACACAATTTTTAGATGAATAATGAAGCAACACATATTCTTCCTCCTTTCATTTCCATTTTAATAGAAAAAAGAATATAAACCGTATTACAAAATATATTTCACATTGTTTCTGCAATGGAAATTTCAAAAACATTAACTTCATAAAATAGAAGGATGGTAAAAAGCAAATTCCAAGTGGAACAAAGACATGAAAACGAGAAAGTTCCAGAAAAAGGCTTGAATAAATGTATTTATATTCTGGGAGTGGAAAAGATTTTTCCAAAGGACATAGCCCAGAAGTAACAAAGAAAAGACTAGTAAGTTTGAGTACATAAAATTTAAAAACTTATGCATGTTCCACAAACCTCCAAATCACTAAATAAGTCTAAAAGCCAACAACAAACTGAAAAAACATATTTGCAATACCTACTGAAAACAAAGGGGTCCTTAATTTAGAAGAAATTCATATATATTAATAAAAAAAATCCAAAAGAAAAATTGATAAAAGATAGAATAGTCAGTTTAAAGGGGTAAAACTATTTTAGAAAGATAAAAATGTACAGAAATATGCTCAAATCTCATTCATAATTACAGAAACACACATAAACAATAAGATGCCATTTTTCTCATACATGAGATAGCAAAAATTAAAATGGCTGATGATGCCCAGGGCTGAAGAGGGTGGAGGGAAACATGTACGTGAATCGCAGTAGAGAAGAGTGGATAACTGCAAAAAACCCAAGCAGGGACAGAGGAGATTCAAGATGGTGTAGAAGGCAGAGGATGTACACGCCTCCTCCAGCGACCACACCAAAATTAAAACAAAACTACAGAGCAAGCAGGACGCAGAGTCACCAGAGGTCTGGCAGAACAGAAGCCCTACAACTAGGTCACCTCAAATAATAGGTCACTTCAAAATGGAAGGAGGGGCAGAGACATGAAATGGCCTGGTTCCACAACCGCATGTGGCAATTGGGAGGGTTATTTTGGCGGCAGAGCCACCTCCCCCACCTGAGGAGCGAGAAGTCCCGGCTGCACATGAGCTCCTCAGCCCAGGGGTCCAGTGCTGGGAAGAGAAGTCCCCACAACCTCTGAGGCTGAGTGAGACAGAGAGCTGTGGGTTCGCATACTTTCCTCTTAAGGGCCCACGCCCAGCCTTACTTGCCAATGGTCTCGCTCCCTCTGAACTCCAGTGCTGGGGCAGTGGCTCAAGGGGCTCCAGGGATGTACAGGGAGGTGCTGAGGTATTGGGCTTCAGGACAAGGGCTGGAGGGGCAGCTTGCTCCCAAACAGAGGTGCAGGCAGAAGCCACTGTTCCTTTGTTGAGCCCTCCCCGCTCTCAGCCTACAGACACAGGTGCCATCAACTGGGATAACACAGGTCCCTCTGCCCAGGGGATTCCAAGACTCTACCTCTCCCATCTTGTGGGCCCACCCAACCACTTCCAGTGATTTATTCCATAAAAACAAGCTATCTTGGTTGCTGCTGCAAACTTTCCTAAAATCTCTCAAAGACTCAGAAAGCCCAAAGCAGCAGCATCTGGCCTCAGTGTTCCCTCTTGCTAAGTAGCCCCAAGCCCCACACTAGTGGCAGTTGGCCTCAGTTTCAGACTTGGCCCCTTGAGGCACCTATGAGTCCAGCACCAGTGGCAGCCATATGTGGATTTCTTAGTGACTCTTACCAGGTGGCCCTGGAGGTGCACAGGCTATGGCTGAACTTGGCCTGCAGCTGGATCCCTCCCAGGACTGTGCCAAAGGGCCCACAGCACACCTACAAAATAAAGCCGCTATACTAAGACCAGGAGACTTAGGAGCCTTACCTAATACATAGAAACAGACACAGAGAGGCAGCTAAAATGTGGAAACAAAGAAGCATGTCCCACATAAAAGAACAGAACCAAGCTCCAGAAAAAGAATTCACCAAAATGGAGACAAGAAATATACCAGATACAGAGTTGAAAACACTGGTTATAACAATACTCAAGGAAATTAGGGGAATGGCAGATGAACTCAGTGAGAACTTTAACAAAGAGATAAAAAACAAAAAATGGAGATGTAAAACATAATAGGGAGTCAGTCAGAAATGAACAATTTTATATCTGGGATGAAGAGTACATTAGAGGGAATCAACAGAATGGATAAAACGAAGGATCAAAACAGTGACATAGAGAATGGGGTAGCAGAAGACATCCAATCAGAACAGCAACAAGAAAAAAGAATCCAAAAAAAAATGAAGACAGTTTAAGAAGCCTCTAAGACAACGTCAAGCATAACGACACTTGATAGGGATACTAGGAGAAGTGAAAGAGCAAGGAACTGAACCTGTTTGAAGAAATAATGACAGAAAACTTCCCTAACTTGGTGAGGGAAATAGACATACAAGCCCAAGAAGTTCAGAGTCCCAAACACGAGGAACCAAAAGATGACCACACCAAGACACATAATAATTAAAATGCCAATGGTTAAATTCAAAGAGAGAATCTTAAAAGCAGCAAAAGAAAAGCAATTAGTTATATACAAGGGAGCTCCCATAAGACTGTCAGCCAATTTCTCAACAGAAACTTTGCAGGTCAGAAGGGCTTGACACAAAATATTCAAAGTAATGAAAACCCAAGACGTTACCCAGCAAAGTTATCATTTAGAATCGAAGGACAGATGAAGAGCTTCTCAGACAAGATCATCACCACTGAGCCAGTATTACAGTAAATGTTGGAGGGACTTCTTTAAGAAAAAAACATGTATCAAAAATCTTAATCAAGAATGGCAAAAACTACATATCTATCAACAAGTACCTCAAATGAAAAAGAATTAAATGTTCCAATCAATAGATAGGGTGGCTGAATGGATAAGAAAACAAGACCCTCACATATGCTGCCTACCAGAGACTCACTTCGGATTAAAAGACACACACAGACCAAAAGTAAGGGGATGGAAGAGGATATTTCACGATGGACCTACAAGGTAGTGTGCTGAGTGAAGTCAGTCAGATAGAGGAAGACAAATGCCATATGATTACACATATATGTGGAATCTAAAGAACAAAATAAACAAACAAACAAAACAAACAAATTTATAAATACAGAGAACATTTTGAGAGTTATCACATGGGAAGGAGGTTGGGGGGAATCACTGAAAAAGGGGGAAGGGATTAAGATGTACAAATCTGTTACAAAACAGTCATGAAGATAAAAAATATAAGGAAAATAGTCAATAATATTGTCATAACTATGTACAGTGTCAGAGGGGCACTATATTTATCGGGGTGACCATTTTGTGAGTTATATAGCCGTCTAATCACTACGTTGTACACCTGAAACTAATATAATATTGTATGCCAACTATAACTGAAAAATAAAAAATATTATTTAAAAAAATATCCCAAACAACTCAAATGTCAGTCAACAGGGAACTGGTTAAATTATGGCATACTGAGGTGGAACACAAGACAGCCACTAAAAGGAACAAGTAGATCTGTATGTACTGACATGGAAAGGTCTCCAAGTTATATTCATAAAAAAAAGTCGAAGGGAAAAGTACTGAACAGTGCATCAATGAGGGGGAAAAAGTGGTTGAGAGTCTACTGCAATTCCTTTCTGTCCTCCAAAGGAATCATAAGATGTTAGCTGTGGTTATCTTTAGATAGATGAATGAAGGGTAGAGGAAGGGAAGGGGAGAATTTTACTTTTTATTTTTGAACCTTTCTGTACTCTTTGTTTCTATCCTTAAAGGTATAACATTTATTTCAACAGGTTAAATGGGTAGATAGACTAGAATTCATTTACTGTTTTCTTTGTATCTCTCTGTATTATAAAAACACAGTAACTGTTTTTTATATATACACACAGATGTTAAACCAAAATATATAAAATTTAAAAAGATACAGACATATGCACATATATACACACACATGCTGACTGACATTAGCACAGTTTGCCCACCCTTTCCACGTCAGACACTTACTATCCTAATGTTCGACACACATAGTTATTCCAAGTGTCTCACGGGAATAATGTTCTGACCACTGCAGGATCTTTTTGTCCTTTTATCACCTCACGATTATGATTCTGAGGCTGGTCTTCGGATCAGGTCCCCAAAATAAGCAGTGATTGTCTTCAATTTATTATTAAGAAAGTTTTGTTCTATTTCTACTTGCCCTCCAGGCCCAGCTAAGGACGCCACCTAAAAAAAAAAGAACAGAAGAAAGTCACACATACATAAATATGATTTCGAAATAAATATTTCATTCAAACATTTCACCAAATAGTAAGATGACTCTGGCTTTTTATTCAAGTCCTTCAAACAATGAGGCATCTCAAATGTTCACTCTAGGTAGGTATTAATGCACTATTCAGTGGCAGAAATGCCTGTTGTTTCAGACACTTTCGATATTATAGGTAAGACCGTAGTGCTATGTTATGGTACAGGACCTAATTGCTCCAATGCAGAAGCTAAAGAACTCAGAGGAAAAGAAAACGAACACGCCCTTCCTACAAATTAGGCTTAAGATGAAAATGTAAAGAATAACTCACTTTCCTGAATACTTTTGTCCTGTTCATCTTATCTGCTGCATCTTAGCCTCTCATTCCTTCAACAACATTTACTGAGAACCTGCAACGTGATACTAGGAATCAGACATCAGAGAGCGAGAGACGGGAAGGATCCCACTCCTGCGAGTACTAGTCTCCACTACCGACTTTTTCCCTTCTCTGATCTCTTCTGCTGTTCTCCCAATCTGGATCATCTCCATCTCCTCCACCTGTGTGTGTGTGTGTGTGTGTGTGTGTGTGTATTTTTAAACCCGCCCCTTTTTTTTAATGTGGTAAAATACATCGCTTTTTGAGGTCTGCTGGAAGACAGTGATCAACCGCTTTATTAGGAAGCTTTAAAAGCGCCACCCGCTTTCCACCTCCACAGAGTTAACATCAAAAGCGTCCACCTAGCAATGCTTTACCTTTACCTCAAGTTCTCATACAGACAAGGTTTTGTTTTAGTCCAACATTTTTTCATCCAACCTCTCAGGTCTACTAAATAGCAAATATATTACCTTCTCACCCAGAATTATATCATCAGAGATCAGTTTATTGAGACACTAGCGAGGACTCAGGGAGAGGGGAATGTAGCGGGAGCCCTGGGAGTCACAGATTGGAGACACTGAATGTTGGAGAAAGGGACACCCTGCCGGGGATAGGGACAAACAAGAGGAGACAGGCATTTTCTGAAATGAATTCTCTAACTGTAATCGGAAAAACTGTAGTTGTGTATTTTGTAAAGAGAAGTGTTTATCTAGTCTGGTCTGGAGGCTGAGAGATCCAATCTCAGTGGTATCACACATGCTACACCAGCATCTGGCAAGAGGAAAGGTTTATTGTGCATTGCCAATGAGTATGTATTTTAAAGCATTTCAATTTCCTGTTAGAAAAGAAGTCACAGATACAGAAATAGGACAGAAACAACAGGTCATTGTATGGTCCATCCTTAAAAAAAAAAAAGGCAATAACAATGTCAACATCACTCTCGCCCAAAAAGGGACAAAAAAAGAGATGGCTGTGCTTTTATCAACAGCAATAGATGACAACGGAAGTCAAACAGTATCTATTATGCTAAAAAATGTAATAATTAAAGTAAAACTAGAAATTAAAAACAGCCAAGTAGTCTCGGAGTGGCAATTATCAGAAATAATTGTTTTGCTTTCTGTTTTTGTATCTTTAGCAGTCTGATTTTTATCTATCAGTCAGTCTGATTTTTCACAAGGAAGGACAAAATGAAGAATTTTGTCTTTAACTAATGAAAGGCATTTTGACCAGTATATCTAAGATAAATTGTTTCACAATAATTTTTCTACAAGTTAAGATATAACTTAAACAGTGATTGATTTAAAGAAACTGAGACTGGCAAACTGAAGTTTTCTTGGGGGTGGGGTGGGGTGGGGTGGGGAAAGAGGGGACGAGAAAGGAGAGAACAAGAAAGGTTAAGAAAACCAAAGTAGAGCTGAGACAATGGCAAAACATCTGCTAGGAGGAGTCTAGCAGGGAAAAAAAGCAAAGTCAGAGGGAAATTTTAATACTAGTTCAATCAATAATTTGCTGTATCAATTTGGAACGACATTAAGATACGCTTTGGCTTTCCAAATCTGAAAAATGGGAATACTACCTATCTCTTCAAAAAGAGCATTTTGTAAGCCATAAAAAATTTACATTAAAACAAATCTCTGAGAAGGTAGGGTAGTTTCTTTTCTCTCTCTCGATTATTTAAAGGGTTACCTGAATTTAGATGCTTTGGATAGAAAAAGGAATAATGATGTGGTTACATGGGAATTTTTTGAGGCCTGTTAAAAAAGTCAATAAATTACTTATTCAATAACTATTTAGTGAGCGCTTATAGGTGTTTGTTCTAGGTTGTGGAGTGCAGCAAAAAAACAAAAAACAAAAAACAAAACAAAAAACCAACTCTCTGCCTTCATGAATCTTACATTCTAGCTGGGAAAGTCAGACGATGAACAAATAAAACAAGAATTGCTCCTGACGCTGGAGGAAAAGGTGAACCTATGTCAAAATATAATGGCAAGGTAAGTCCCATATGCACACTTGGCTTCTGGTTACAGCACGCATGGGGCGGGGGAGGGAAGAAAAGAAAATATATGTGTTCAGTATTTAGAAAGAATTTATAAAAAACGCAACATTTTATATTCAAATGTTCTAATTAAAAATAATTTCTAATAGGTGAAAAAGGGGGAGGGATTAAGATGTACAAATTGCCAGATATAAAAGTCATGGGGATATAAAGTACAGCACAGGGAATATAGTCAATAACACTGTATCTACTACGCATGGTGTCAAAGGGGTACTAGACTTTTTGGGGTGATCACTTCTTCAGTTATATAGATGTCTAATCACTATGTTGTACATCTGAAACTAATATAATATTGTATGCCAACTATAATTGAAAAAAAAAATTTCTAACTTTAGCCTTGTACTTTTTTATTTTCATAAATATGTATATAAATTTTAAAGGTTAGAATTCTGGAATTGGAAAAAGTGTGGATTATGTAGTTCAAGCCAATCGGTAATACTTTGCTTTAAGCAAACCTAATGCCATCAATTTCCAGCTGTCTTTTTCACTAGCAGATTTAACTGACAAAATGATATTTGGTTCCTTCCCCTTTTTTAATTATTAAAGTTTAATACATTGAGGGTGGGGAGAAGAGAGGAGGAGAGGAGAGGGGAGGGGAGGGGAGGAGAGGAGAGGAGAGAAAGAGGCAAGGAGGGAAAAAGAGTGGGTAAGTAAACATAAAGATCAGCAGCTCTGGAATATATGCTGTTTTAGGCATATTACCCTAAATATACTAGATTTACTAAAAGAAAGCCCAATTAGTTTGGACTGGAACTAGAACTAAAGACTGAATGCTCATTAACTGGATATTATATCAGGCAATAAAGTTGTTCTTTGGGGATGGGGAAAAGAGAAACAGGTAAAGATCATGATGAAGGTGACAACTTCAGTAACAGGTAAGGCACAGAAGAGTCAAACATTCAAAACTGCATTACTCTTCAAAAGCAAATTGATTTAAAGTAAAAATGTATAGTAATTGAACAAGTGCGAGAAAATAACCTCCAACCTAGATGCTAATAGAAAAATACATATTAAATAGTAAGTACAGGAACACTTTATAGGAAAGAGGCAGAAAAATTAGAGCATTGAAAAAATGTCCTTTTATTACAAGCAAATTACACCAGGTGAAAATTAAGAGTATTTTTGATGGGGCCTACAGATGTCAGTCAATTATAGTGACAGGAGCAGCAAGCATCTGAAATATTGGCTGTGATTAGAAACCTAATGTCACACTGGCAAGTACCTTACCCATGATTCACTTTGCTCCCATGTTTCTTTTGTTACAGCCAACTAACAACTACACAGAAATAAAAGTAAGTTGGGTAAAAATATTTCTAATGAACAGTTCTCCGGGAGATAAAAGATAATATTTTTTATCAGTAGAAGATCAGGCAACACTCAAACTTACAAATATTTATTAAAATTCATTCCATTTCTCTGTACATGGTAAACAGAAATGAGATTTCTATGGTTAAGTGAATAAATCTTAAATATTTACTTATTGATTAAAACAAATATGATTTTAAAAAGCTAACATGTCAACAGAGGCACACTGGTGACAAGTCAAAAATTCTCCTGGGCATCAAAAGCTTACCAACATTAGTCTCTTAAGAGAAAGCTACCAATCAATAATCAGATCACTAAGCTTTGTCCCTTACCTGTTCTCAGAAACAGATACTGGAGACATGAAGATTATTCTTAAATTCAGCAAGTTATATAAACCACAACAGACCAGAGCGTCAGGACGCCTTCGGCTTTGGCAAAGGTCTTGTACATGGCCTTATGTGTGGCATCCTTCTATTTTTAGCTAAGTCATTTACTGAAAAAACTTACTCAAAGAAGTGAAGAAAACAATCTTATGTTCAGAAGCATTTGTGCCTTCCCACACCAGTCTCACAGCCCCTCTGGAAAATGATACATGCAGTATGGGCATGAATACTGTTGTAATCGTTCAGTGGCAAACTTTCTTTTGGTTAATACACATTAGAAGCTGATCAACTGCATCCTTAATTGCAATGTATGGCTGACCTGTTTTAAAGGTTGGGTATTTTCAGGTTAAGCAGTTTTAGAATTTATTATTCGTACATGTACCAGAAGTTGACTCTAGTTCTTAGCTCTTTCTACTGTCTTCTGCTTCTGGTGTCTAAACCTGGACTAACAATCCTCCATCTGCTGGGATGGCTTCACCATACCAATTACATTTATTTCCTGATAAAGTGGGAAAATAGGCTACATGATGATGCTGCCATTACACCAGATTTCCACCATGGACATTTTATCTGGAACAATTTGACACAAATTTCTTGTCAATCCTAATATTTAGAAAGCAATAAGGCCTTGTTTTTTAATTAAATAAGCAAATACTATAATAGCTCAGAACTAATATTCACAAAGAAATTACTGGTAAATTTTAACTGCATTCAGCCAAAGACAAATGCAAAATGCTAATGAACCAAATTTAGTTGTATTTAAAATGTATTTCCAAATAATAACATTATCTAACAATTTCCATATTTAAAATAGTTTTAATTATTCAAATGCATAAAACTGTATTATTTCTTATACATAGT